CCAACGACACACACACATTATATAATACAGTGCTGGTATAAATGTTTGCGTATATTAAATACAGGTATGTATAAATATATGTATTATACGCACACACTCTTCTGGGATAATACATGTTTGTTATACATGTATCCGCAGCTAATATATACGCACACACTGATGACCTAAGCCTTCCCCTCAAAAATATACAGTACATGTGTCACTTAAAATAATGAACCAACTTTGGTGAAACGGCTTAACTTACAGGTGGGTGGGGGGAGGTGGGGGAGTGTGGGGTGGAGATGGGGGTGGGTGGAGGGATGGTTTGGTGGGGGGAGGGATGGTATGGGGAAGGTGGTTGGTTTGAGGTTAGATAAGGAAGGAGGAAAGAGGAGGGGAGAGAGGGGGGTGGGGTAGGGGTGGCCAACATCGAGGTACAAGACATGAACACTGTAGTTTAGTTAACATAAATCAAGGGCGGACATACCAAGGTTACAGTGAAAGGTCAAATGGCCGCCACTAGGAGGCCTTTGATGGAGGGTTTTATTTACTTTTACCGCCAGGAATTTTACCCGGGGTCAATTATGTAGTGCAAAGGGATCAATAAACACACATGACAAGACAATACCTATTGTTCTCCTGTGACACCCTGGGTGGGGGTGAGAGAGAGAGAGAGAGAGGGCCATTTTTTCATCAGTCTCTCTGTTCATTCTCACAACACCAGCCAGTGAGAATAATAATGATAAAAATAAAAAAATCCTGCCGACACTATCAATGCCTTATTAAACTGTTGAATTAATTCGCTCCATGAGGTAAAAAATGATATTTGTTGATTAGTCGTAGAATAAAAGGTAAACACATTTGTATTATTTCTGCAGCGGCGGCGTGACGTAAGGAGAAATATTTTTGTGAGTCTAACCGCCCAAAAACAACATTATTTACTCCTTTAACCTCATCAATTTACTCATTCCTCCCCAAAATTACACAATAGTGGCCTTTTTTTACTTTTTGGGGGTGGGTGGGTGGAGGTGTGGGGGGCTTTAATGAAACAAAGTCAGAGTTAAAAAACGAATGTGTATTTTTCCCCCCTGGACTTGTGACGTTGGTGCTAGAGGCTATTGAACCGTGGACACACAAGACAGTAAGTCACCAGCTGTCGCCAAAGGTGCCCCCGCCCCCCCCAGAGAAAGTACAGGATTTCAAGCATGTATGTATGTATGTATGTGTGAACCTTTAAGTTGACCCCTAAACAAGTGATACAAACATTCACCTGGGCAGGGCGTTATCTCTCTCTCTCTCTCTCTCTCTCTCTCTCTCTCTCGCCAACCGGAATTTTTATACTGCAGGTCCTTTAAAGAGTCAGATTAACAGCTCTCTCACACACACACAGAGTTTAATAAATCCTTAACACTTATAAAACGCCCACACTTATACACCCCCTACTTATACACCCCTACACCCCCTACTTATACACCCCTACTTATACACCCCTACTTTTATATAACACTTTACATAACCCGGCATTAATAAATCTTCTTGACTTGGCCGCCAGGAGTGAAGTGACCCATATAAAAAGCAGGACAAGCAGAAGCCGTAGAGTGGATCCAGTTAACAGTCTAACGGGTTTGGGTAACCAGTTAACAGTCTAACGGGTATTGGGTAACCAGTTAACAGTCTTATAAGTATTGGGTGTCCAGTTAATAGTGTAACACGTAGAGATAATCCAGTTAACAGTCTTATAAGTATTGGGTGTCCAGTTAACAGTCTTATAATCCAGTTAACAGTCTTATAAGTATTGGGTGTCCAGTTAACAGTCTTATAAGTATTGGGTGTCCAGTTAACAGTCTTATAAGTATTGGGTGTCCAGTTAACAGTCTTATAAGTATTGGGTCAGTTAACAGTCTTATAAGTATTGGGTGTCCAGTTAACAGTCTTATAAGTATTGGGTGTCCAGTTAACAGTCTTATAAGTATTGGGTGTCCAGTTAACAGTCTAACGTGGATATGTGGTTTAGTATATCCCCTGCTAAGTATAACAGTTGTCATATAGAAATAACAAAGTATATTCTAACAACATGGGCGTCACACACACACACACACACACACACACACACACACACACACACACACACACACACACACACACACCTATGACATCATATAATACACACATTATATCCTGTAGAGTGAGGACCACCTGACCTGGAGGTGACGGCGTTATCCTGCTACTAAAACATCATCATATAATTGACAGGATAAACATAATAATAAAGATAATAATAAAGGTCATGTTATAAGAGCAGAGCATAAAAGGATATGGCCACTCTATGATGAACCTGGTGTACTTCCTGAGGAAGTTGTCTTCGGAGAGGATGAAGAGTGAGGTGGGCCCCTTAACCCCCGGCTGGGGGGGCGGCCCCTTCTTGCCGCCCATGGCGCCGTAGGTGGGCGGCCGCCCTAGCCGCCCTAGACCCTCACCCGAGACCCCTGCCGACGCGCGCGCCTCCGCCGCCGCTGCCAACCTGCCGGGGGAAACAAGGTTACTGAACTGCTTTTACATGGTGGTACATAGTGTTAATGATACATGGTGGTACATAGTGTTAATGATACATGGTGGTATAAGGTGATACTGATACATGGTGGTATAAGGTGATACTGACACATGGTGGTATAAGGTGATACTGACACATAGTTAGATTAGGTGAGGTTAAGTTAGGTTAGCAATGACACACACACACACACATACCATATTATGAATTGTTACAAACCTCAACACAACACAACACAACACAACACCCCCACCACCCAAACACAACACCAACACGACGCAACACACGAGATAAAACACACTGCAGTATCCCCCTCAAACACAACAATGGCGCCAGCTTACTGACCAATAAAGTTTTACTCCATCTTGAGAAGAAAAAAAAAATTCAAGAGTCTATGTAGAGTTGTTTTCATCATACTTAAAGACTATATCATACAGCCGTCTATGTCAACAACGCCGCCATTAAGAGCTGAAGAGCGTCTATCATTCTCTTGTTTATTTACCCAGTCAGCTGATGTGGAGTCCTGCGGCGTCACTATGAAGAGGTCTTGGCGAATACGAACGTCGGTGTAGCGAGGTTTCAAAACACAGGAAGGTTGTTTACTATCGCCTTGACACGTGGACGAGCACAGAGACACAGACACACTGCTGGCACACACACCGTCAACACACACACATATATATATACACACCGCCGTCAATACACGCACACACACACACACACACCAAAAGGGCTTCAAGAACACAGCTAACTACCTCCAAAAGCGCCACCAGGGAGGTAAGGAAAGCAGACTGGAGGTCAAATTACAGAAGGGATTGTGCCTTTTAAGAGGACAACCTTAACTTAACAACAGCTTGCCTGGACGACAGAATATGGTGAGTACGTTTTCAGATTTCCTTACCCTGCCTTACCCTACTCAGTCCCCTCCTATCCTACCAACCCATCCTACCCTACCCTACCTACCCAACCTATCCTCCAGCCCTACCCAACCCTATCCTACCTACCCAACCCAACCCTATCCCACCCACCAACCCTACCCTACCCAACCCTATCCTACCCTACCCAACCCTACCCTACCCTACCCTACCCTACCCATGCCCTGGCCGCTGTCTGGTGGCAGGCTGTACAATGGCTCCTCAACATCTTTATGACGACCGCACCGTCAGAAATATATTCATTTTTACCGCCGCTTGCGGACTCCTCACAATACCAATGCGGGTCGAGGAGATGGGGGTGGGGGAGTGAGGGTGAAGTGAGGAGTGGTGGGGGTAAACTGTGCGGTGGCCTCTGCTTGCTACAACAAAAAGTTAAATGACTTGTGCTTGTGATACTGCAGTCACCCTCGTTCTCACACATACATACATACATACATATATACATACACACACAAACAGACATACACACAAAAACACACACACACCACACTTACACAGCTAAACACACATGCATTTATATAGACGAACACACACACACACACAACAATGGTGGTCTGGGTCCCGTCACAAGGTTTGAGTGAGTGTATGAAAGCTGCCAACAACACAACACCTCATATATGTTAAAAGATGCTGTAGAGACGTATGTAGAGTGCCAGTGCCATGTGAGATAGTGCCAGTGCCATGAGGAATATATAGTGCCAGTGTCATGAGGAATGTAAGAGAGTGCAACTAAAACTTTAAAACTACGCTCATGCATTTGTGGCAGAACTCACTGTCAAAACTGCAAAATATTGCCTCCCAGAAAAATACGATGTTGCAGAAATATTGGCAGTATCTTCTTGCATAAAGCCTTTGCAATGTCAGAGAGAGAGACGTCGTATCCTACAGAAAGTAAACGCTATCAATGTCCTTGCACGTCAGCGGCCTGGTGGTGGGGTGGTGAAGGAGGAAGGGTAGGAGAGAGGGACAGAGGAATGAGAGGGAGGTAGGAGGAGAGGTGGTTGGGGAGGAGAGAGGGAGGATGGTTGCTATATCTGTGCAATATCTCGGGAATATCTCCGTGGGGTGGACATTGAGAGAGAGAGGAGGGAGGAGGGGGGAAGGAGAGGGTCTTGCTATAAATATGGGGCTGCACGTTCCTTCTCGGCCACGGCGAGAGATTCATACGACACGATATAAGACCCAAAAGCGACTGGCCACCAAAGCAATGGAACCTGAATCACACACACACACACACACACACACACCTAAGATATATAATTATTAAAAGAATTATATACACCTCTTACCAACACTACTGTATGTTATTATATACCAAAATTACATAATAAAATACATAAATTATTACGATTAAATACATAAAAAATACAGGTATAATCTATAATTTATTGATAATTAATACACCAGCATGTATTACCTCGACTTAAAGATTATAGGTGGCAATAACTCTACAAATACGGGGTAATTATTGCGAGATTATTCATACAGTACTGATGTATATACAGAAGGTGTATTACTGTAGTTACTGTATTAAACAACGACTGTATTTTATTTTTTTAGTTATTGTTGGTTAAAAAAATGACAATAATCGTGATAATTTGGGGAGAGAGAGAGAGAGGTCTAATCCCCCCCTTCAGTGCCAGTCAGAACACTCATAGTAATCAGGGGCAGACAGACAGACAGACAGACAGACAGACAGACAGAGACAGACAGATAGATGTAGTAATTTTAAAACAAGACATATAAACACAAACACACATACAAACAAACCATCCGACAACCAATCATATCTCACATCTCCCCTCAATACACGCTCTGATTGGTGCGCCATCCGTCACGTCATTCACCCTCTCATACGTCCTGATTGGTGCTCGACTCGTGACGTCATCAAACTCCCGCGCAATGTCTGGGTGAGCGGCGGCGGCGGACCGTGACTGACGCCGCATGGGAGGTCGTTTTGTGGTGTGTGCGTCTGTGTGTGTGTGCGTCTGTGTGTGTGTGCGTGTGCGTGTGTGAGCGTGTGTTTTTTAGTGAGGTTCTTCACCGCCAACCTCGATAAACTCACTACGTTTCCAGCAAATTCCAGACCGTTGTGTGCGGGGGCGTTGTGAATCACTTGACCGGGGTTCACTGTTAAAGAGGCGTCCAGGAAGGAAGTGACGTAGGTAGTGACGTCAACAAGCAGGTGATGACGTCAACAAGCAGGTGATGACGTCAACAAACAAGAGGAAGGCAATAAAGGGGGTCATGACGCAGGTAGTGACGTCAACAAGCATGAAGAAGGCAATGAAGCAGGTGATGACGAAGGTGGTGACGTCAACAAGCAGGTGATGACGTCAACAAGCAGGTGGTGACGTCAAGTACACTGTCATCAAGGAGACGATGCCCATTGGTGATGACGCAGTGAAGTGTTCCACGAAGTCATTCATCTTTTTGTTAACCTTCTATGTCGTTCTTCCTCCTCCTCCTCCTCTCTCCTGTTCTTATCTATTCCCATCCTCTTCTCTCTCTCTTTCTGTCCCTATCTCCTTCTCTTCCTCTTCTCTTTCTATTCCATCCACTTCTTTATCTCCTCTCTCTCTCTCTCTCTCTTTTCTTCCTCTCTCCTTAACCTCTCTCTTACCCTCTCTCCTTTCCTTTCTCCCTCTCTTTCTCTCACCTCTCCCTCTCATCTCTCCCTTCTCCCTCCTTCTCCCTCTCACCTCTCCCTTCTCCCTCTCACCTCTCCTTCTCCCTCCTCACCTCTCCCTTCTCCCTCTCCTCTCCTTCTCCTCCCCTTCCCCTCTCACCTCTCCTCTCCACCTCTCCTTCTCCCTCTCACCCTCACCCTTCTCCTCTCCACCTCTCCTTCTCCCTCCCGTTCTCCTCTCTCCTCCTCCTCTCCTCCCTTCTCCTCTCCTCTCCCTTCTCCTCTCCCTCTCCTTCTCCCTCCCCTTCTCCCTCCGTTCTCCCTCTCACCTCTCCCTCTCACCTCTCCTTCTCCCTCTCCTTCCTCCCTCTCACCTCCCCTTCCCTCTCCCTCTCCACCTCCCCTCTCACCCTCTCCTTCTCCCTCCCTTCTCCTCTCACCTCTCCTTCTCCCTCCTCACCTCTCCTTCTCCCTCTCACCTCTCGTGTCTGTCTCCTGTCACACAAAAACGTTACAGTGTCATGTGGTGGTTGTGTACAGGGGAGTAACGTCACACCTCTTGTTACGTCTGTCTGATAGGTGTTACGGCGTCACACCTCTTGTTACGTCTGTCTGATAGGTGTTACGGCGTCACACCTCTTGTTACTCTGTCTGATAGTGTTACGGCGTCACACCTCTTGTACGTCTGTCTGATAGGTGTTACGGCGTCACACCTCAAGTTACCTGTGTTACCGCCAAGCATCGTCACATCTCCAATCAACACCACAACAACACGCCTCGCCGTCACACCTCCCTAATGAAGAGATAACAGAGATAGAGAGAGAGAAGAGAGAAGAGAGAGAGAGAAGAGAGAGAAGAGAAGAAGAGAGGATTTACCAGGTTTTATTGGATGTTTGCTACAACACACACACACACACACACACACACACACACACACACACACACCTATACCCATAAACACACACCTATACCCATGAACACACAGACCCTAAAACATACCCATGACTACATATACACCTACATAAAATACACACATACACTCACATACATCAATACACACATAAGACAAACATACATACATATATCTTCATACACAAATACACCTACACACAAAATACACATACACCTCCACATGATACAGTCATACCCCTACACACATACACCCACGCATACATACACAATACACATACACCTACATACCCCACACCCCTCCACACCCCTTAGTTACTGTAGTTTTGTTTTTGGTATAAGTTTTAGGTGTGTGTGTGTGTGTGTGTGTGTGTATGTGTGTGTGTGTGTGTGTGTGTGTGTGTGTGTGTATGTGTGTGTGTGTGTGTGTGTGTGTATGTGTGTGTGTGTGTGTGTGTGTGTGTGTGTGTGTGTGTGTACGTCACTCACCTGCCCAGGTA